GAGTATCAGCAAAAATACTACACACATACATAGATACCTGTGTGTGCGTCCACACTCTTAGGCCATGTCTTCAGTCCGCAGAAGATCAATGCTGCCACGATTGATCTTCCGGAGTTCTATTTAGCGAGTCTAATAAAGACTCACTAAATCAAACTCAGAGGGTGCCCCTGCTGGCTGTGCAGAAGTAAGGGAAGCTGGCGGGAGCGCTTGCTCTGTCAGTCTCCCACCGTGGGGATGGTGGGTAAACGCAAAACAAGGTACATCAATTCCAGCTATGTAATTAACGTAACTGGAACTGTGTATCTTGCTTCGACATCCCCTCCTAATGTAGACTTCACCATATTTTAATGATGGGTGTCACAGCCCCTCAGTGCTTTATGAAAATTGGTTTATGAATATGCATAACTCCAATATGCTTTATGCAAAACAGGTCATGTAACATATCATTTTTAAAGTTACCATCTGCTGAATGTGTATATCCTATTTTTGTGCATGTATCATTCTTGTATGTGAAGTTAGAAACATGAAGTGTGAATCGGTTTTTAATTCTAAATGGGGGAATGAAAGCCATTAGTGATACTTTAGGAACTTAATGGCTCCGTACTCAAACCAACGACCCTTTATATCACCTATCAGCCCAAACTGTGGTTGATCCTAGAAAAACATTTGAGCATGCCACCTATTACTGGAATCCATCCTGAAACTGGTGCTTTTCCATGGGGTGGGGAGTGCTAATTATTCTTGCCCTGGGGGAAAGTCTGTTTAAGGAATGGAAAACATTCAGTCTTTTATCTTCAGCTGGCTTTCGAAATTGCCTCCCAACTCAAAGAGGATGCACACAAAGAGACCTGGAAACAAAAGACTATAGGGAAAGGATGAAGGCAAAGCTGCTGAGCCCAGGTCAGTAAAAGATCGACACTGACCTGAAATAACTGGTTAGGGTAAGAATTTGTATGTAACAAGTTCAGTGTAGAATTAACTGGCGTCTTTTGTTTATTTTGGCTTAGTAACCTGCCTTGATCTGTGTGTTTTCATGTGCAATCACTTAACTCTTACTTCTAATACTTAATAAAACACTTCTGTTTATTAATAAGCCCAGTGTAAATATAGGCAATCCAGACAAAAATGAGGAGTACGGGATCTTTCTAAAAAGATTTTTTTTCCCCTGAAAGAACCACGTCTAGATGGCGCTTTCACTTTCGAAAAACTAATTTACATCCTTCTTTCAACTGAGAGATGTAGTTTAGACATACCCTGAGAGTCAGGAATCACAGCCTGGCTGCTGAATTGCTTTGTGACCTCAGGCAAATCGTTTCAGCTCTGTCTTCCTCAGTTTACCCCTCTGTTGGGTCCCGATAATACTTATTTGCATAAGCTCAGAGAAGCATTGGTGAGTGTCAGGAGTTACAGCTGATAAAGGACAATGGGACCGTGAAAGGAAAGTTATGATGAACGTGTCAAACGGGGCCATTCCGACTGGTGCACGACCAGCATCATCCAAGGCAGCTCTGGAAACAAACCGAGTGAGGGGACTTGAGGTACGTTGGGAGCTGAGCGCATCAGAATCACCACCCCAAGAGCCACAGGCACTACGAGAACCAAGGACGCAGCTGGCACAGACTCCTCCTGTCCTCTTGGTCCAGGGTGGCTTCTACAGGCACCACAGAAGAGCCCTTACGGAACCAAGGACGCAGCTGGCACAGACTCCTCCTGCCCTCTTGGTCCAGGGGTGGCTTGTACATGCACCACAGAAGAGCCCTTACACTTTCCCAACGAGAGGCTACTTGCAACTTTACCCAGGTTGGGAAGGGAAAACCAAATCTAGTACGGAGCAGCCCATTTGGATTGGAAAGTGGATAGGCGGTGCCTTAAACAAACCAGCTCCCGATGCCATCCCCACACCCAACATGGAGTACCAAAGAAAACTTCCATCACGTTTCCGTATTCCTGCATGGCACTGAGAACGACCCTACAGAGATACCTCCTGGGCCACGTATACCTAGGTTTAACCAGCTCTTGTTTCGCAGCTGGTCCACAATGCTCTCCGTCCCATCTCCCATCCAAATCTGCTCCAACAGTGCTCAGTTCTTCCTTCGACACCAGCATGCCCCACGCCCAATGTATTGCCCCTTTAACTCCTACCCTGCCGGAAGATCAGCAATGCACCACGTTGCCCTTCCGACGGAAGAGGCAGGAACCAGAGGGCATGAAGCAGCTTGACAAAAGGGATCTAAATTAAGACATGCTGGGTAGGAAGCCCCAGCGTAACTTTCTTGGGCTCAAGATGCGTCTTATCTGCAAGGGGCATTGCTACTTCCTCCACTGAGCCAACAGCGGCCGAGCACAGAAGCCTGCCGCTCTTTCAGACTCTGGCTGCTGGGCTGTGTCATTCCTTGCTGGCCGAGACGAATTATTCCACACGTGGCCACTGTCACATCTGGGGCCTGCGCTGCTTGATCACTAGGGACCTCACGCCGGGAAAGTGCAGAAGGAAACTAACTGCTTCCCCAGGAGAGTGGCACATGGAATGAATTAGCCAGACACTGAAAACCTACCATGCCGTGACCACGTGGCTACTGCAGCTCGACAATGAGACTCAGCCTGGACTGAGCCACATGAGCATTCATTTAACGCATCAGTCACCATCACAGAGACACAGACGCCTTCACACAGCAGCAGACTCCCAGATCACTACCTGGCTGTGCTCCCAAGACCCGAAAGAAGGAGCAAGGCTCTCTCCAAGAAAGGCTACCAGAGGTGTCCCTTCTAGATCACCGAACCATGGGCACAGATTCAATGGCTGAAGACGACCTCCTTCCCTCAGCCTATCACCACAGTACTATTGGGGTCATGTCTCCACTTACCGGAGGATCAACATTCCGGCAATCGATCTTCCAGCGTTTGATTTAGCAGGTCTAGTAAAGACCTGCTAAATCAAATGCTGATGGTGCCCCGCTGACCATGGTATATTCATGACAGGGAAGTTGACAGGAGAGATTCTCCCACTGACCTCCTGCTGTGGAGCTATGACAGACCTGCAGACGGCCAGGACTGGGCACCACTAAGGGTGTCAGCTCAGGGCTAATTGCTCAAAACCAGGGCTACTTACAGCCCTCGACTGGAGACCCTTCCCAAATAGGCCACAAGCCAGTCACACCAAATGCTTCCATTGCTAACCTGGCCAGCAGGAAGCCTCACAAGCAAAACCCTCAGACAACCCAGCTTTCCCGGTGGCACAGTCAGCCCCGAGCCTTACACACAGGTGAGAGGTTATAAAACCCGATCTCACCAACTCTGAACAGATCATCCCGGTCCCAAAGAACCAGCCACAATCCCAGGACAATTTACACGTTAGCTCTTACCCACAAGAGCACGCTGGGCCAATCCTTTAGCATCTAAAAATCTAAGGCTACGTCTACACTGCAGGCTTCTTGCGCAAGAAGCCTTTTGCGGAAGCGTTTTTGCGCAAAAAATTCTTGCGCAAGAGCACACCCACACCTCAAAGCACATCGCAAAAGCCATGTGCTTTTGCCCAAGAGAGCCTCCACACGGCCATGGATGCTCTTGCACAAGATAGCTCTGATGGTCATTCACAGAATGGCCATCAGAGCACCTGTGCTTTTTCCCCCTAGGGGTTCCTTGCACAAGAAACCCCTACAGAGCATTCACACTTGCCTTTTTGCACAATAGCTGTAGCATAAAAAGGAGTTATGCCTCATAAAAGGAGGTTTACCTACGCCGGAAAAAGCCCTCTCTTCTGCTGTTTTACTGTTGATTTACTTGTGCAAAAGTGCATTTGAGGTGTGGACGCGCCACGGGTTTTTGCAAAACCTTGCAGTGTAGACATAGTCTAAAGGCTTATTAATAAAAGAAAGAAAAGTTTGAGAGTAAGATTGTGAAGGAGAATACATGACATACATCAATCACCAAGTTTTTGATGCAGGTTCTTAGTAGAGATGTTACAAACTGCTAGCTTAAAAGTCTCGGGGTACATCCTGTGTCAGGACGGGTCAGCAATCCTTCCCGGCTCTTTGTCCCTAGCAAGGATGCATCTGGAATCAGGAGCAAGATTAAAGACAAGACGGAGATGCCCTCAAGGGATTTTTATATTCCTGGTGTCTTCCAAATTGGAGCTGGTCACATGATCAAGTGACCTATCTGTGTTTCACATGCCAGCAGCCACGAGGCACTGGCTAGTCTGCAGGCTCCCAAACGCATTCCCTCAGGTGTTTATTGGCTACTCAGAGCCACTGTCCCTCAGCAGTGCTAGTTAGCACAGGCATCCACGGACCAGTCCTTCCTCACAATAGGCAAAGCCCATTGCTCTCCCCCAGCCCGAAAACATTCACAGTACAAGCACAGGGCCCATATTCATAACTGCACATAGAAACATCCTACAAGTTCATGAGTAGCACGCACAGAATCAGTAGAGCATAAGCACCTCACATGGCTCACTTGACACAGAATTTGGGCGCGCACACCCCCGTGGGTGCAACAGTGATCCGGCTGCTCCCTTTAAAATCCAATGATTGACAGGAGCCATCCCAGAAAAATCGATGCAAGGTTTGTAGACTCGCCCTAGGCAACTCCTAGTTGGAGTTACATCTCTCGCATCAATTCTCTGCCGGTGCAGACCTGGCCTGAGATGAACTAGATGAGTGAGGTGCCCTAACTAGTCTATGGCTTATCTTCCATAGGCACTATGAAGGAGTAAGGAAGGATGGGCAAGGGCCCCTTCTCTCAGCTACACCCATCCCCCGGGCAGAATGCTGCAGGGAGCATGCCCCAAGCTGCAGGCTTGCTGGGCAAGGTGGGTGCTGGCCCAGCCAAGGGATCAGCCACTGCCCTTTGGCGCCCTGAAGGAAGGAGGCAAGGCATGGCTCTTTCCTGTTAGCAGAGCTCAGGAAGGAGACGCCCCATCCCATTCTTACTCACTCGTCCCAAAGCCTTGCAGCCAGGGGCGGCGGATCCCTCCCGGGAAAGCGGCGCCCAACGCTTACCTTGGAAGAGCGCAGCGTTTTGGATGATGAGGAATTTCAGCTCCATGCTGGCCGATTGGAGGAGCTGCTCCATGGTGGCGCGGGCCGTGGCCTGGTACTTCTCTTCCATTCTCCGGGAGCAGCAGGTGGAGCCCTTGGGGACGCACACTTGCAGATCTGCCCCTGCGCGGGGAGAGGAGAGCGTTAGACACACACAGGCGAGGGAAGCCGCTCCGCGACGTGCAACAAATGCTTCAGGCAGACCCATTCCGACTCTTGCGTCACCTGCCATGCTCCCGATTTGGGGCATCCCCTGCCGGGCTGAGGCATTCTGGGTAACGTGGATAGAGCTGGGCAGAAGCCATACCAACTCCTGCCCTCGTCCCCAACCTGCTGTGCCCTAGAAACCGAACTAGAGCGTTGAGGGACAAAGCCACATTCATGCATCACTCTGCTCACACCTCGATGGCTGTGGGCAGGTTGGGAGCAAACCACAAGTGGGAGCTAGAGGCAGGAAAGAACCAGACCGGGGTGAGGTTGCCGAGAAAATATCGGTTTGACAGGAAAGAGAAGCAAAGATTTGCTATGGGGGAGTGTGTGAGATTAGGGTCACTGAATATACAACGCACAGTATTAGCCTGTGTGCATCTGCCCTCCAGTCTTCCAACCCCACAGCTTCCGCCGGAACCAGGCAAGCA